ACCAGCACACCAGCACCCTCGCCCATCACGAAACCTTCACGATCCTTGTCCCAAGGTCTGGAGGCAGTTTGTGGACTGTCATTTCTCGTAGACAAAGCCCTGCAAGCTACGAAACCACCTAACCCGATTGGAAGAATGGCTGCCTCTGTGCCTCCAGCGATCATGATATCAGCCTCTCCTCTCCGAATGTGATTGGCGGCGGCGTAGAAACAGTAGTTGGAAGTGGCACAAGCTGTTGAGATCGAATAGTTGGGACCCATTAAACCAAGATCGATGGCAAGAAGGGCAGAGCCCATGTTCGTAATCGCGTACGGGATAAAAAACGGTGTAATTCTCTTGTGACCCTTCTCTACCAAAGCTTGAACTCCATCAGAGAACACAGTGAGCCCACCCATGCCAGTTCCGACGAGAACACCGACCTTTTGCTTGTCAACCTGCGTTGCAAGAGCACAGGACTCGCTTAAAATGCCACAAAATGCAACAAACCAAAATGCGGTAGGGTAAGCGAGTGATATATCAAACCGTATTCAAAACTCACCATCTTAGAAAATCCACTAGGCACGCTGCAATTTCTTGCTCATAAAGGGTTTAAAAAAATACTACGTAATCTAAATATATCGCGCAAGATAACAGGTTTGACACTAAATTTCGAAATTCATCACGTTGTTCTGCAACCTCTGAAATTCACCTGGTTCAGGTTTTCCCCACCGAGCCCAGCATCTTCAAGCGCTCGTTTGCCACTGACTAGGCAATACCGGAGACTATCATCGAGGCGGCGATCGTTCTTCCCGTCGATGTATCCCTTTGCACTGAATCCCCGAATCTGTCCGGCAAATTTCGTAGGAAATTTCGAGGTATCAAACCTGTCAATAATGTCAATACCACTGGTCCCCTCCAGAAGCTTGTCGTAGAATGTATCGACGTCGTTCCCGAAGACTGACACAAGTCCCATTCCAGTAATCACCACCCTCTTCTTTGGATCCGTTTCTCGCTTCGGGGCACTGGAAACTGACGCCGCGCATCGCACTCGGAAGGCTCCCGCTTTCCCATGTGCTGTTTCATATAGAAGACATTTAGTAACTCTTTATTCCTTCAGATTGCATTAAACCCTCTATGGACTCTAAAACATCCAGAAAATCTAGAAAACCAATTCATACAAATAAAAACACCCACCGCATTACACCAAAACTTCACACATATTCACGCATATTCAGTGAACTACACCACAGTACTAAAACTCACAACAAACACAAACTCTGAGCGGACACAAAACCACCAATCAATCCACAAATCTCCGCCGTAGCACCCCACACTCAAACCACAATACAATGCGGCTCCTAAATGTTGCCACCCAAGTTCGATGATCCCCAAAGCACCTAACTCGACTTCGAAACTTCGCCAACCAATGCCAAAACCATTCAACTTCACAATGCCTATCACCAACCCAGAGTTACAGCATCAATTCACAACGAGGAGCGAGAGATGGAAAAGTGCAACATACGAGAAGCTGTAGGCGGTGCAGGGTACTGAGCTTGAAACTCAGTGGAGCGAAGGCCATGGAAGTGCGGGAGGGAGGGAGCCGCTGCCATGGCCATTGCAACACCCAAAACTCACAGGCCACCCGGGAATGCTGGAACAGCTGACTCTGTTGCGGTGCTTGCAGGTGCAAGAGCGATGGTGACCTTGCCAACGCTGCGAGGAGAACAGAGAAAGAGGGAGAGGATGGAGCAACGAAGAAAGCAGAGATCGGAACCTTGACAGTGAGCGTTTGAGTTTAACCTTGGATTGAATCTCAAAAGCTCCGCCCCCTCACTTCCCTTCCCTTCCCTAACGTTACCCTTCCACGTAAACCAACCACGGAGCAGAAATTTGGCTCTGCTTCTGTCCATTTTGGCTCTGGATGCCATACTTTTGACATAGATCGATTGTGGTGTGGACGAAGCCTCATCTATAGATGAATGTGCACTCCTTCAACACCGTACTTGGATTGTGTAGTACTTATATGGTTTTTTGACGCATACTGGTTCACAAATTGTTCACGAAATTGATGCGTAGGATTATTCACCAACATTTCTTATCTGGTGCGACACAATAGAACCAGTTTCGTCCGACATGATATTTTGTTTCACCAAATTTATGTTGTCTGTGTTGTTAACGGAAAATTATATTAAATTAAAAAATTAAAAACAAAACCTAAGTATTTATCAGCCTCGATAACTGTGCCAGTTGTGGTTGAAAACTATTTAGGATGTTCCTTGGGTCATAAATGGCACTGTAAGGAAGTAGGTGTTGGTTGCAGCCTTAGAGAATTTTGTTGTTTTTTAATTTGTGATTTTGTTTTATTTCTATTTTATTTTAAGTGTTTTGTATACGTCTGCTTGAAGACATTGCTCGTGATGAAATTATAATCTATATTTATTTACATAGCTTGTTACTTTGGTGTTTGAAATTTCTATATAAATTCTCATTTTGACAGGTTATAACATTAGTCAGTTGAAGAGTGTTTCCTGTACCAAAAGGTTCTCTTTGCAACAAGCTCGAGAATGTAGTGCTTCTATTTCTAGCTGATTGTATGAGTGATCTTAGTTGGCTGCTTCGGCATTCTCAATCAGTCCCGTGCTTGCATCATCAACCCTATGACACTGACAATTATTGGCACCTCGATATTTCCGCAGACTTGCAATCGCAGACATGTTTTGTTTCAAAGTCAAATTTGCTAAGTCATCGTTTTCTTCTCCTCTTTCTCTTTCATTTTCACCTACCTTACTTGAGTTATACTTCAGTGACCTAACTGTACACAGCTGGAGAAGATGCTCTTAAAAAGTAATTTTATAGCTGCAGTGATGCGCTGTATATAGAAGTGTCTCAGTATCCTCGTGCGGACATCTGTGATGGCCATGATTTTACTCTGAGCCCTCTAACTCAACAGTATCCTCTGAAGTTCAACCCAGCATTGGAAGGTCTTCGAATTATAAAAAAGATTCACGGTATCCTCATCCAACACGATCAACTTCTGCCCAAAGAATTGGGTGTTGATTGCATGTTATGGAACACACACCAACCTCAAACTCCTGGTTGAATCAGAACTTCTATGCAGATGTCTCTCTATAACGTAATATAGCTAATTCCTTCTTTTCCCTTTTAAGAGATCGAGCCATTTGGTAAACCGCAGATGAGCAGCAGCTTTGCCGAATGAAATAATCACTAAGAATTAGTGGAGTTCATGTTCACTATAGAACTACATCACTGGAACAATCTGTATGGTAAGAAATTGTTAACTAACATATTTTTAAGTGTCGAACCGAGAATCGTCGAAGACCCACGGTTCATGCTGATACAACTCCCTGCCATTCATGCGCACTCGACCTGCAGCAATGTCTTCGCCACGTTTCCGTGCAGCTTCTGCCGCTCTAGCTTCTGCTTCTGCATCCTGCAATGGGTGAACACATGTACTGCATGAGCGAACATGGACAATAAACATTCTCCATAAAAGGCTAGTTCTTAAATTTCTTGCCATTGTACAAAAGAAAAGCTTGAGGTTCGAGATCCCAGAAGGTCGAATAGTTCATGAGACTGTCAAATAAAAGATTTGAAAAGCCTTCGTCTTCCCCATCCATAAACAATTCACTAAAGTCTAAACAAAACAAGTCTTTCATGTTTTTTTCAAATCTTACAAAATGGTTCAACATAATAAAACCGAGGCATACTTTAAAAAGCTACCTAAAAACCTCCCATGAACCCTACAAAGCCACGAGGTCATTGACCCTATCCAAACGCCACGCAGATTCCGTACGTCAACATATTCTCTGCACCCATTATACCCATAGTACTTCAATTCCTAATAAAGCAGCTTTGTTCTGTGCCAACTATCACCCTGGGTTTCTAATTGTGTTTAAGTTTGTTTTTAAAAAATAAAAGCTCCCAGACAACAGAGGAGAGAATTCCAACACGGAAGGGCCGTGCAGCGCAAAAACTATATTCTAAATAAAGAATTAATTAACTGATTGATTATAAGTCACCTCGGATATAATAGAAATAGCTAACAATCTGTCAATCCAAAAACCTCCATTAAAGTACCCCGTGACCATGTTGCAATACTATGCAACACTGAGGCATTTCACCCCGCGCAGCTAATAGATTCAAAGCAGCCACATTAACTAAAAACCTACAACAAATAATGAAAGTCACTGCTGCAATACCAATCATGAAGACCATTTGCAAACCTCTATCCTAAGCAAAGAAAAGCACGAAAAACTATTCTAAAAAGATACATATTCAAAGCAGGTCCCTAAATTTGCCTTTCTAAACTGCAGCTGGGTAAACGATATAAAATCTCTCGACAACACACTCTCAAAAGATGAGAGCAACGAAATTCACAAAAGCATCACTTTGAACTTATCTTTTGAGAACACTAACGACCTGCTGGAATCATGTTGATTTAATTATACTGTAACGTCCTCTAAGACCGAATATGTAGCAACCTAAATTCAATCATCTTGAATTCAGGCATATCAGACAGCTATGGACAGTAGGAAAAACAACTGGACATTTTAACAGTATAGTCCGTAACCTCGTGTGTACGTAGCTCTTACAATCTATCTTCGCACAACACGAGAAGTACAGAGCATGTACACCTGGGCGTCGAACACGGTTCCCCTACAATTTCTATCCATCGTAACCAAATTCACTCTACAATCATCACTGCAACGCTGCCACCGCCCGATAATTGCACAGCCACTCGACGACTTGCAACTCTAAACACCAAACCCTGCTGCTGATAAAGCGCAAAAACATGAAGAGGCCCGCACAAACCTTCTGTTGCTTCCATCTTCGAAACTCCGCGTAACTCATCTGCGGCACCGTCGCGGAGTCCCCCTCGGCCATCGCAACTGCTCCTTCCGGGGCGCCCATTCTTTCGAAATTGTGTCAACTTGGGAGCACAAACGGGAAGTATGAAACCCTAATTCAAGGCCAGGAAGAAGCTCCAGGTTTAGGGGCCTTGTCACCGCGTTGCTCTCTCAAATGCGGTGACCACCACGGGCTTATTACCGTGTGGCACACGGCCATGAGACCACGCTTCCAATCCAATGAGAGAACGTAAAGTGGACATCGAACGGTGTTGGACACTTGATCAACCGTTTTCATTCTTTATTTCGTCCCTGCTTGATTGTGATTTATACAACATTTTTGAAGGACATGATAATTTTTTTTTAAAATTAATGATATTTTAAAATTAAAATTAAAAATAAATAAATAAATAATATCATGTCGCATGATGTATTATATATTCATTTAAAAAAATGATGTTGTAATTATTTTTAATTTTATATTAAAAATATTAGCCTCAAGTAAGCTCCTATATATTTATATATTTATATATTATTTATAAATAATTTGGACTTTTGAATATAATCTATTTTTAAGAATTGGTATTAAAAAAAATAAAATATATTAATTGATACTCCTTTCTTTTGCTAATAACTAAAATATTACTACAATACTGTTATATTCTCTTTTTCCTCTGATTGCTTTGATCCTCATTCTTGCTACTTCAATCTTCTTCTTTTATACATCTCCTCTTCCATCTAATTGAATTGATCAACTTGTATGTCACCTTCTAAGCTATTTTGCCAATTAAAGCAATCACATGCAATTCTAATAGTTTTAAAATATACACAATATATTCTAAGTGTAGAATATATTTATATAGAATATTTACATTAATAAGATGTGCTGTAAAAGATTCTCTTGAAGATGTTATTGAAGAAGCTATTGCAAAAGATAAAGTTATTAAGAATCAAGCAAGAAAAGTTGAATTTACTCAATATTTTGTTTCTAACACCTTCTAGCTTCTTAAAATTTATTTTCTAATAAATTTGAAAAAATATGAAGTTAAGCCAAGGCTATGTTTTATGCTATTACATAAAAGAGGTATTTAATAATTAATAATTATTTTATTTTAATATAATTAATTATTATAATATTTTTTAAGATGTATACAATCAAAATATTTCTTGATTTTTTTAATCTTAAAATATTGATTTGAACAAATTAAGATGCAAAAAGAACAAAACAATCCAAGACTATCTAAATCTTATTAATAATCAATATTTATATTTATAGAGGATCTTGTAGATTCATATGTTAGTGTATTATGGACATACATATCTACTTCAACAATTACTTACATGATAGAAGTTAATTAAAGTAAACAAATTTCATAATAACTTATAAAAAAGCTTCTTAGAAGCTTTATAGATGCAACTTTGACTTTATATGTGTTTGTAACTGATTGATAGGATAAAAACTTGGCCAATAAGTTAGTCACATATTGCACATTTTGGTAGCTTTTGCAATAAGCTAATAATATGGCACACAAAATCTTCTTATTGTATGTTTAACAAACATACAATAAGAAGGTTTTAAGAATATTTAAGAATATTCTATTAGATTCTAAAATATTCTATAAGATTTTAAAAAGATTCTTATAGGATTTTAAAAGGTTCTTAGAATATTTTAGTAAGTTCTAAAAAATTCTAAAAGAATTAAGAGAGTTATCTAAGAAGCTTTTTAGCATTGCTTTATTTCCAAACAACATGGAAACTTCTTAAAAAGTATCTTAATACCTAGTATATATAAGAGTCAATGCTAAAAGAATATTTAATCTCAACAACTCATTTTCTTAGTTTTGAACTTATATTCATCTCATTTAATGAATTTCTTATGATTTTCCATATCTTTAGCACCAAAATATACACAAGAGCTATAAACAAGGATAGAAGATAAAATATTATCTTTTCTTGATTTTTTTTTTTTTTTTTTTTTTTTTTTAGAATAAAGATTTGTTATTCTTCATTTAAATTTTGATAGATGTCGTTAATAAAAAGCCTCCACCTTCTCTGCTGTATTTATAAGATTCTTTGCTTACTCCTATATATATTCAATAATATCATACCTACACCAATAAACAAGATATTTCAACTTATTTCGGTGCTACTTTGAGTCTAAGACTTCTTCTACATCAATTTCTTTATTATTAGTCACTTTTATAAGAGGAAGTGGTCCTAGTTTTTTTTTTGGTATATTCATTTTGATTTGTTCACAAATAAAAAAAGATCCAAGTAAAGAAATTCCAACTTCTTACAAGGATAAGTAGTCTTGATATTAAAAAAAAAAAATCCTATCTTATTATTATCATAGAAATATTCATGTAAGCCAATAATTACATGTATAAATAGGTAGAAGTAAGTAAAAGTAGAAAAAAGTAAGTTAATTCTATAATATTTGCTATAAAAAATTCCTAGAAGCTTTATAGACACTTCTTTGACTTTATAGGTGTCTTTAATTGACTTTTTGAATTAAAAACATAGTCAACAAGTTGGCCATGTGCCACACATATTGTTAGCTTGAAGACCAAGCTAATTATGTAGCCCATATGCAAAAAAACTTATCTTATAAGTCAAGGCATGTCTCTTACAAAGTCAATACATATTGGAGGTTCTATAGAACATTGCCATGTAGCTCCTAGTTATATAGTATATATAGAAACAAGAGTGAAGCCTTCTTCTCTCTTGTCAACTCTTTTCTTGCTTTCACTCTAGTTTCAAGGATCTCTAGTTTTCTTGGCTTTTGGCAATAGCCATTCCAATTTTTTTTTTTATATATACATCAAGTTATTTTTATTTTGTCATCTTTCTTTGAGAGAAGTCTCACTTATTGATTTATTTTTGTCATATTCTTGCCCTTAATAAATTGACAAGAATATACTTACAATATCAGAGCTTTGTCTAATCTTGATTAAGAGTGGATTACCCTTTTCTCTTGATAAGACGTAAGCATATTAGAAGTTACGGATTACCCTCTTCTAAACTGATATTGTCCTTAGAATTTTCTTTGTTCTCAAGTCCTCTCTTCTATTTGTCTTGAGCGATATTATACATCTTCTATTTTCTAAGTGTTATCATGGTAGAACTTGCTAAAATGAAGAATGCAATGGCACAAATGCATGAGCAATTGAGAGAGTTAATACTTGCGATGCATCAACTCAATTTACCACCACAAGGAGCAACAAGATTGGTAGAAAGTGAAGATATAGAAATGATTGGAGTTGCTTCAACATCTGCACCAAATCATGTCCCTTTTCCTATGGTGGAACGCCCTTCCAATGTTAGAAAATCAAGAATTGCCCTACCCGAGAAGTTTGATGGCACCAAATCAAAGTTTAGAAGATTTATCAATAAAGTATAACTTGTGATTGAACTCTAACCCCAAAGCTATCCAACTCCAAGATCGCAAGTTAAATTTATTGGTACACTTCTTTCAAGTTCAACATTATCATGATTTTCATCTTTTCTTGAACAATGAGATTTAATATTAGATAATTTAGATGCTTTTTTGGCAGAGTTTCATTCCATGTATGGAGAACATGATACAATTCATGTTGCAACCAATAAGATCTGTATTTTATGACAAGACAATCGATCAATAATATTGTATGCTTCATAATTTTGACAACTTGTAACTGATATCAAGTGGGATGATGTTGCACTTATTTGCCAATTTTTCTATAGATTATAATATGAGGTAAAAAAATTAATGCTCAACTTACCTGATCCTCAAACATTGAGTCAAGCAATTGACTTTGCTGTGAAGTGCGACAATCATCTTTTTGAATTCCAATCTGAGAACCATACAAGAAGACCTCAACATTACTATAATTCAATGGCAACACCAACATCTCTTCAATACATACATTCAGAAGTAGAAAATATGCAAATTGATGTAATACGTTTTAAACCTCTTATTGAGCAAGAAAAGATTCATTGCTGTCAAGAAGGATTATTCTTATATTATGGAGAACCTAAGGGCATTCTTCAACATTATTCAAGAAAGCGACGCAACCATAAAATGAGGAGTACAGCAATCAAAGTAGATAGCATGTTGGAAAATGAATTTTTCCAGCTATAATAGGTACCGTATGGCTGGAACCTTATACAACACCTAATGAAGGTCCTATTCTCTCCTTAGAACCCTCTCCATGTTTTACCATAAATGTTATTTTAGGACCTAAATATCGCAAAGCCTCTACCTTGTTAGATTCAAGAGCCTCAACATGTTTCTTAGATGAAGTATTTGTTAAAAGAAATAGCATATTTTTAGTGAAGAAAACTAAACATGTTCATGTAGAAGTCATAGATGGTCGTCCATTGTCTTTAAGAGATGTTACTCATGAAACTCTTCCTATAGAAGTAGCAACTAATGGTCATAGTAGCTTTGTAATATTTAATATCATTAGATCTCTCTCTAATCCAATCATTTTAGGTTTATCATGGCTAGAAAAATATAATCCTAAAATAGATTGGACTTCTCGTAGTCTTAACTTTTTTGAAAGTATAACTAAGAGCGTAGTTAATCAAGTAGAAAGTCATCAGTCTAATATAATTAAACCTATATTTGTAGGTGTAAGAGTTTTTTTGCATACTACAAAAGAAGGATCACCTTGTATCATTTATGCCACACTTATTTCTACTAGTGGAAAGACTTCAAGTGGCATTCCAAGCCAATATCAAGATTTTTAAGATATATTTGAGAAGAAATATGTGAATATTCTTCCAAAACATCATTCCTATGACAGCTCAATTGACCTTCAAGAAAGAGCACAACCGCCATTTGGATCAATCTACAATTTATTACAAAATAATTTGGCTGAACTGAAGGAGTATATTGAAGAAAATCTGGCCAAAAACTTCATATGCTATTTCAAATCTCCAATAGGAGCTCTAATTTTATTTGTAAAGAAAAAAGATGGATCACTACAGATGTGTGTTGATTATCGAAGATTCAACAAAATCACCATAAAAAATAAGTATCCACTACTTTTGATATCTAGACTCTTTGATTAGTTGAATCAAACTAAGATCTATACAAAAATAGATCTATGAAGAGCATACAATCTGATACGCATCAAAAAAGGAGATGAATAGAAGAATGTGTTTCAAAC